CTGATACGCTACTGAAGCAGGTAAGTCAAAATTAATGTATCTAAATTCTTTTGACATCTAATCTTTGACAAGTAATAAATAAAAAGCTAAAATGCAAGAAAAATATATAATTTAGTTAATTTAAGTGAATTTCATAAATGATCGGTTTACTACACGTATGTATATTATATAGTCACTTACTAGCGAAAAGTTGTTCCATTATTTCACTCAATTTTTGCCGAGATCTACCGCACGCTACACAACCAACTATTTTAGAGTCTTTGTCGATAAATCGCGATAGTGTCACTGTTAATTTAAGTCCTGCCACAATTTCCATCTAGATTTACTACCTTTATACAACTATCAGTAGTAGAATAAATAATAAATAACATAAAATAAGCTCCGTAAAGACTGACAAATCCCCAAAATTTCAAATCAAATTCAAATGTGTCAAATGAATCGTCAAACAGAACTGTCAAGGATCCCCACCCTAGAGTGCTTTTATAGTGCTTTTTCCGCCCACCATGCATGAATACATGGATAGCATTATGCTCCTTCCTTAGTCTTCTTATTCAAAGGTCCGAACCAAATAATTTCTGAAGTGACATCAATATTTGGATGAAAATTGGTGTCTGGGAGTCTTTTGACTTGAGAAATTTGATTTTGATATCAATATGACTTCCATTTATAGGTTACACCTACATGGTTCTGTAAAATGTATATATTTTTACTCAGTAGTTTTATACAGATACGGATAAAAAGTTATTATACTTCAAAACAGTTAAAACACATGTAGGTGGCGCCCCCTACAAATAGGAGTCATATTGATATCAAAATCAAATTTCTCGTGCCGAAAAACCCCCAAATGCCAATTTTTATCCAAAAATGTTGACGTTACTTCAGAAATTATTTGGAAAAAATCGAAATAAAAATGAAACTTCTACACCCTGTATCTCCGATACTAAGCACTTTAGGACATACATTTATACGAACTTTTTTACTTATTTTTATTTGCTGAATATGCTACCGAAGTTTTCGAAATAAAATTCGGACCACCCTGTATATTATTAAAAAAAAATCATCACCAATCTAAAAGTCAACCTAGGAAGAGCGCATTTTAAAGGTTAAATTTTAACCTTTCCCAGATCTAAATTGACTTTACAATCGATAATTACTTAAATACTTGAAACTTTCTCCTAAAACATTTTAATTCCACATTTCGACTTATCCAAGAATGTAATCATCCTCATAAAAATAGTTTTATAATTATTTATATAATAATTTGCATCAAACATTTTTTATATTTCAACTAAAAGGTTTAAAAGTCTATACGCACGGGTTTAAAATTTCAAAATACGGTCCTGGCGTTTCGCTGATATCGCTCTCACTTTTCAATGGCATTTAAATTTATCTGAGAGGTAAAAGTTTCCAATATCTAGACCTCTTTTAAACTCTTTAGAATATTAAACGTTTATTTAATTAGTCAATAAAAAGTTGATTATATAATTATTTGCCTTCGAGAGATATACGTAAACACACAATATATGTATAAGGTGTTACAAGTTACCAGCTAATTTTTATCATTTGATTGCCAAAGTAATTCGTAAAGAACTTATATTTCTATGAACTTTTGGTGGTTAAAACGTCTCTTATATCCTACTGTTCCCGTAAGAATACAATGACCTATATTCCCTTATTCTACTCCTATTTTTACGCATTTTCCTTAGAAGTAACATTGAAAAAATTCAATATGTAAATTTACCAACAAAAACAAAACTACCTACTAAATATAATATATTTAGTTTCAATTTCAGGTTATGTAACTCTCATTTTCGATAGTAACAATTCAAGCATGATATGACTAATTCTAAAAAAAACAGAAAATTGCTTTATAACCAAAAATGTATATTTTTAGTGTATTTAGTTTAATAATTATTTATTTTTAATTTTTTTCATAATATTCACACTTTAAATAATATTTATACTTTTGTGGCGAGTTCATTTCTTGAAAACAATTCTGAAAGAAAAAACACAAACCATAGGCCCAGAATACACACAATGAAAACAGTACAAAATATATACACCCAATACAACTTAAAATTTCATACAAACGGAGCACTCCCTAGGAATAGGGATAAGAAAAACAATATAACATACGAATATCCACAAAATACACTTGGGTCCGTTTTAACCCACACTAAATAAGTCAATACATACATACATGCATACTGCCATTACTCGCTGACGAGTATTCGTCACGCATCACAAGATGGTCACGCAAGGCGTTTTCTTTCATGAGCTTAACTGTGACTGAAAAGCCCGATACGTGATCTTATCTGTCTACCGCACTCCGGACATTCAAAAATCTCATTGCTTTGTTGCCTCTTTACTTTTTGGTTGTCGCTCTTGACTGACTTTACAATTCTTCTCCATTCCGTTCTATTGTGAGCTGCCTCTTCCCACTCATTCTGCTTTTTAATTCCCTTTAAGTTTTCGTGGAAAATATCCTTGAACCTTTGAGTTGTCCACCCGGCCTCCTCTTACCGTCGACAAGCTCACCGTAAAGCAGAGATTTAGGTATGCGGTTTTCTTGCATTCTCAATACGTGACCAGCACTAAGCAGGACTTTGTAATAATGATTTCAATACTCTCGCAGTTAGCTTTTTCAAGCACCGATACGTTTGAGACATGATGGAACCAGTTGATTCTTAAGAGTTGTCTAAGATGTCTCTGTTGCAACTTGTTTAATGCGTTCGTGTGCCGGCGGTACGACACCCAGGTTTCGCTTCCTTATAACATTGTGGGAATTATTATTGCTCGGTACACTGCAAGTTTCGTTTTTGTGCTTAAGTCGTGATTGTAGAAAACCCTGTCTTTTAATTTTCAGAATGCTCTTGAGGAGCTGCTAATCCTGTGCTGAATTTTAGAGTGATATTGGCCTTTTCCGAGATCAAGCTGCCGAGGTAATTGAATTCCGCTACACATTCCAATAGTTCTTCTCCGATTTTTATAGCATCGTTGTGATCTTCTGGGGGAGTGCACATGATTTTAGTTTTATCGGTGTTCAGCTTAAGTCCCAAAGCCTCGTATGCCCAGGTATATGTGTTCAACATTTCTTGCAATTGCTGTAACGTATTTGCAACTAGAGCACAGTCATCAGCGTATTGAAGTTCCGTGATGCATTGTGTACGTGCTCTTGCCCTGAGTCTTTTTATGTTGAACAGACAGCCGCACGGTGGGGTATTAGCATGAAAAAGGTGATCGAAATTCGAAAAAGCAAATGTGTTTAAGATTTCCCAAAAAAAGATAAATGATAAGTTAAATCATGTCTGCCATGATTGGCGTTGCTATGGGTGTGTTTAGTTGCATTCATTTGTTTCAACGAAACGTCAAAGTTGTTACTTCTCACAGATAAGAGGTAAATGGCTAAATTTTATGTTTAAAATTATAAATTGTTGCTGTTCTTGTGCTCTTTTTACGTTTATATTATTGTTTTGATTGAAAATGGCTCAGCAAGCTGCAGGTATGTATTCTACAAAAACGTATTATTTATTTTGATATTTTATTGGAGAAATGAAATGAACTCAGGAGTGGGATCCGAGCTCAATAGTGAGTCTTCTGAACAAATCCTCATTAATTTTAGCGGGGCTGATTTTTGTTGTGTGAACATTCCAGAATTTTAGTTGCTCTGGTGGACGTGGTCATAGTTATCTCTGTTACCAATTTTGTAGCAGAGACGTTTCCCCTTTCACGCAATTTCATGGACGCAGCAAATGATAACTCGGCTGCTGTATTTTGCCGTCGAATTTCTTCAGTCTTTCTACGTTTACGGTCCGAACTTTCTACAAATGTTTTTGACGACCGACCTGCTATAATAATATAAAATTTTAGAATTTATCCCTATAGATAAATAATTATTTTGTATATTTACCACCACTTGTAGATGCAGAATAACCAGGAACCGCAAGAGGTCGTTGACGAGAAAAAATAACATCAACCTGTAGCCAATCTGCATGCCTAGACAAGAAATTTCTGTCTTTCCTCCCAGCAGCTTCCATTTTGTTTAAATATTGCTGAAAAAACGATTGCCTCATGAAGTTATACTTAGAGATTTAGTTGCGCATTTCGAAGAATTCAGCATATTGTCTATATACGTTTTACTTAGTAAACATTGGGCTTTCATACAGTAAAATAAAATACTGCGACTTTTTGCGACTTTGTTGATAAAATGACAAAAAAAGATTCTTGGTTTCCTCTAATTTGCCAATCAGTGATATACTAATGCGAGGTGTAAACCGCGACGGCATTGTTGTGTACAAAGCGATCGCATTAGTGCCATTAGCAGTATAGCACAATTTGGCATTAGTAGCGACTTTAGTGGTATGGACATTGCTCGTGGATCAGTCGTAGCATTAGTAGTATTAGTTGCGATATTATTACTGGCATTAGTGGCATTGACCGTGGAAACACTGAAACAGTGATTTTTCTTTCTTTTTTTAGAATCGACGAATTATCCTTTATTTTGTTCATATTATTTCCTCTTTAATTGAAAATAGCAATAATTTATATAAGGCCAACATAAAAAAATTTCGATCAACTATCTGTGTCAAATACCCCACTGTGCGCCGTCGTATCTGTATCTAATGCCCAAACCACTCTCCTGCAGTTTGCTGTCCACAAGTCAATGAACACTGAAAAAACAAACAAAAAATGTGATACACAAAATATCATGCGAATGTGATAGATTTTATATTAGTGAAACACCTTGTCTAGACCACCAAATGTTCGAATTAAAGATCATAAAGATTATTTAAAAAGGGCGATTTTTGCGAATCTAAGATTTGTCAGCGTTCATCGGACGCTGGTTAGTTAGGTTAGATTCGTTTATTGTGTTGATACTTTTTTACTGCATTCTAGTGACGAAAATCCTAGAATTCTTTTCAAGAAATGTTAGTGTATTTTGATATTGATTGACCAGTTATCAGATTTTCTTAATATGTATTAAAGATAAAATTTTGTTACAGATATCGACAATGACCCTAACAGAGCACCTCCCTGTGACCCTGCTGTATGCAACCTGCCCGACTGTTTCTGCTCAGAAGACGGCACCACCATCCCTGGCGATCTCCCATCTAAAGACGTACCCCAAATGATTACAGTGACTTTCGATGACGCCATCAACAACAACAACATCGAACTATACAAAGAGATTTTCAACGGCAAACGCAAGAATCCCAATGGGTGCGATATCAAGTCCACCTTCTTTATCTCACACAAGTACACCAACTACTCTGCCGTACAGGAAATGCATAGAAAAGGTCACGAAATTGCCGTCCACTCGATCACGTAAGTCGATTGTGTTGATATAGTACCGGTAGTTTGAACAGAACCTCGAACAGAATTATAATTAGTCAAATGAGTCATTGATTTGGTACCTAAAAGCAGTACAGAATGATTGATTTGAACAGTGAACCACTAATTCTAGCAGGTTGATGAACTTTTAAATTTAATTTCATTAAACATTACTGGGAAATATAAAAAACGGTGCTCTTTAGTGGATATGACTGATCTCTGACACCTAAGAGACCTCGAAATCAGTGATTGTAAGCTAGAATTATCTATAATAAAATGCAGTAAAAGAAAAGAAATTATAATAGACTATGCTTCATATTTAGAACAATGCTAACAAATTTATACTATAAATCTACAAAACACTACACTAAAACACTAGCTAAATATACCGCGTGAGTCTTAAATAAGTGCAAACTTTTTTAAGGCTAGTAGATCTCGACAAAAGAAAGATATTTTCTCTTAACAGTTTTTAAAATAACTCCAAGTTAACTCCGAGTTAAGCCCGAAATAACCGAATTATTTTGCATTGAAAATTTACAAAAAAAATTTTTGATTGAATTTTCAGAACCGTTGGATCTTTCATGGATTTCCTTTCTTGTAAATTTAATCTACTACCCATGTTGCCATATTATCAAAATATTATGTTTCCTAACTGAAAATAAAAAAGTCTTCTAAATTTTTTTCCAAAAATTCAAAATTTTCTAAAGACGTGTTTCAGGTGTTAAAATATACTACCCATAAAGATAAATGCACTTGTTGAAGACTCACCTTGTATAATTATTTGTGGAAGTCATTATATGAGTGGAATTATATAATATACTTTTGTAAATTTTGTGTTCCTTACTTATGAAGAACCTATCACTTTTTTTCCTGCAAAAATTTTTCAAAAACTGTTTAGTCTCTTTGTTTTTTCTGTAGTGACAAAATTTGTGTGTCTTACTGTCGGAATTACATGTACAGGGTGGGTCAAATTCGACGCTTTTAAATGGAAACACTCATTTCTATAGGAGATAGACAAAAACTAATATCGGTGTCTGGAGCTCAATTTTTGTCAGAAACATGATGGTGAAAACTGCATATCGATATCTGTTACCGTTTCGGAGTTACAGGGTATTTTTCAAAAATATGCATTTTTAACAAATCGCTGTAACTTTTTTGCTATGGAAAATTTTATATTTTTATGAAACCATTTCCAAAGCACCTTTTTACGTAGAATTTAATGGTTTAAGAATAATACCCATCTCTTGGGTGATCTTCCTCGTGGTCGCTTTCCCTCTACCTTTCCCTCGACTATTAGCAGCTGCAGTGAGTCCGTTCTTCTAGCAATGTGACCAATATATGTCAGAAAACATCGGTTTTGTTTTTTTTGAGAGGCTGAGTTGTGAGTTTAGTTCTTGGAGAACTGACTCATTCGTACGATGGGCTGTCCAAGGTATACGTAGCAGACGTCTCCCACATTTCAAAAGCATCTATTCGCCTGGTATCGCTTTTCTTCAGCGTCCATGTTTCCGCCCCATACGTAGCAATCGGGAAAACAAGCGAGTTCAGCAGTCTTAGTTTGGTGTTCTTAGTGATGGCTGTATCTTTCCATATCTTAGTTAATTTAGTTACGGCTGTTCTAGCCAGCGCAATTCTACGTCTTATTTCGCCTTCGCATGAGCCGCTGTTGTCGATTAACGATCCCAGATATAAGTATTTATTAACCACCTTAAATCCAGCTATGTTTCCCACGTGAGGTTGGTTGTTGTTTTGTCGGTCCACAATCATGACAGTAGTTTTGTTAGGATTAAGTTTTAGCCCAAATTCTGTACTAGTTTCTTGGAGACGTTGCATAATAAATTCCATTTCTTCCACACTTGATGTTATGATTAGTGTATCGTCGGCATATCTTAGATTATTGATTTTCCTTCCCCCCACAGATACTCCACCTTGCCAGTTATCGGGAAGTCTTAAGACAGTCGACTGTAATTATATCGCAGACATACATAGGTAGTCTTCTTCGCAGTCATTGGCAGTCGCTTGGCAGTAAAATTATATTTTGCCATCTACATCTACATTTTTTACCCAAGTGAGACACACGATTTTTATTTTTCCGGCAGGGAAATAATTATTATCGGCAGGCAAATATATTGTTTCAGTCAAATAACTATCTACTCAACGTGTTTATTTTTTGTCAATAATGGCATGCATTGACTGTTTCCATTCTAAATATCTTGAGAACGGTTGCTCGTAGAGATTTTTACCAAGAGACATTTTTTATGTAAAAGGTCATGGAAATGTATATTTTTTCACTCAGTAGTTCTATACAGGTACGCACGAAAAGTTATATCACTTCAAAACAGTTAAAACACATGTAGGTTGTAAACAAGCTACAAATAGGGGTCATATTGACATGAAAATCAAATTTATCACATCGCCAAGACATTAATTTTCATCTAAATATGGACGTTACTTCAGAAATAATTTCTTTATACAGGGTCCGGCAATAGTGCGTCGGGCATCTGTATCTCCTAGAAGAAAAAACTTGGGAATTTTGTTTATGTATAAACTTAAAGTATGGATGAGGATGTATTTCAGGAAAATATTTTAACTTATATAGGGTGGATCAAAAAATGTGGGTGGATCGGGATGATTTTTTTTTAAATGGAACACCCTGTATATTATTGCATTTTTGGCTGTACAAGTTTTATATTCTAGGAGCTACAGATTCCCGACGCACTATTGCCGGACCCTGTATGTATTTGGAAACTTCTACACCCTGTATCTCCGAAACTAAGCATTTTAGGACATACATTTATACGAACTTTTTTACTTATTTTCATCTGCAGAATATACCGTCCAAGTTTCTGGAATACAGTTCGGACCACTCTGTATATCCAGGAACTATGGTTACACTCGTTGAATTTGATGTCAATTTAGTTATATATTTTTGCACTTTTGTGCCCAGGCGTAAAAGTACTTTATTTTTATGGCTAGGCGTTAAAATGACATTTTTATATTGTCAATCAAGTCGCAATAATTAATACTTTCGAGACGTTTAAAAAAACATTTCCATTTTACCAGTCGGACGAATAAAAGTCGACGATTTCACGATTACAGATAAAAGAGAGGTACCAAACCGTTTTCTAACATTTTGTTACAGGAACAAAGTGATACACTTTTCATAATTAAGCAGCACAGACATTTTTACGATATTAACAAATTTGTTCACTATCTATTTGCAACACACTATATATCCTCTTTCTTTCCAGCCACAACGATGACGAGAACTTCTGGTCGAACGCCTCCGTCGAGGACTGGGCCAGAGAAATGGGAGGCCAGCGTCTCATCACCGAGAAATACGCTAACATCACCGACAACAGCGTCGTGGGCGTGCGCGCTCCTTACCTCAGAGTGGGAGGCAACAACCAGTTCACCATGATGGAAGACCAAGCCTTCCTGTACGACTCCACGATCACCGCTCCCCTCAATAACCCTCCTCTATGGCCTTACACCATGTACTTCCGCATGCCGCACAGGTGCCACGGCAACCTTCAAAAGTGCCCCACCAAATCCCATGCCGTCTGGGAAATGGTCCTGAACGAGCTAGATAGAAGAGAAGATCCGACTAACGATGAAAACATACCTGGATGCGCTATGGTAGACTCCTGTTCGAATATTCTGACCGGAGATCAGTTCTACAACTTCTTAAACCATAATTTCGATCGGCATTACGAAGAGAACCGAGCTCCTTTGGGACTGTACTTCCATGCAGCTTGGTTGAGAAACAACCCCGAATTCTTAGACGCTTTCTTGTATTGGATTGATGAAATTCTCTCCAACCACAATGATGTTTACTTCGTGACCATGACCCAGGTAATTCAGTGGATTCAGAACCCCAGAACCATTACTGAGTCGAAGAACTTCGAGCCCTGGAGGGAAAAGTGTGTGGTAGAGGGAAATCCAGCTTGTTGGGTGCCTCACAGTTGCAAACTCACCTCCAAGGAGGTTCCCGGAGAAACCATTAATCTCCAGACCTGCGTCAGATGTCCCAATAACTACCCATGGTTGAAGGACCCTACAGGAGACGGAATTTTTTAAAGCAAGTAATTTTAGAGGACTTTTTAACTAGTGTCGCCAGCTAAACGGTTGGGTTTAAAGTGATCTTCTCTACGTTACATTTTTGTATTTATTATTTTTTTCAATGACTGGTATGCGTGATCTATTTTGTTGTTTAATTTTGTAACAAGCGAGAACAATCTCGGTAAATAAGATTTAGACTGTGTATAATTCACTCTCGATATTATCCTAGAATAATTATAATAAAATCCAATTCATTGTGACTTTCACAATGCTTATTATGTAACATACGCAATTATTATGTATTTATGTTAAACATTTAGGACAGTATGTTAGGTTTTTTTTATGTAAATTGACGAGGTGGAATAAAAATGACAATTTTTTGAAATAAAACGTTTTTAAGTAAATGGAATTGTTTATTTTAGTTAGTGATCGAAAAATATCGAAAAATCATCGACGAGTAGCACGGCCATGGAAAAGAGAAAGGCTAGTTGTTGTTCTATGTAAAATTATCGAGAATTGACTTAATGAAATGTGTGATTTAGTCACAATCGCTTTGATAGAATTAATAATACTGAAGGAAAAAAAGAATGCTCTTCGATATTCTGATGATTCTTCGAATTCATTATGCAAATTTGTGAATTAAGAAAAAATAATAGTGTTTTGTACCAAGGCGAACTGGCTTGAAAATGAGGGTTTGCATTGCTACATTCTGAAATTGAATGGTCAGAAATTAATCCTGCGCCATAACCAAACTTGTTTAATGTTGTTTGTTCTTTCGTATTAAGTTATGTGTATGAGTTCAGGGTTAATTCTTTTTTTTAAATCAAAATGTCTTTTAAAATAAAATTAAATTTATAGTTCAAAAAAAATGTTTTCTTTCCAATATAGACGATACAATAGATAACCAACTTTTTGAGAAAATACAACTTTTTCTGTCGTTTCAAGCAAGAAAGTATTTTTATCAAAAAAAATCTGGTTAGGTACTACTCAGACACATAATGTAGACAAACTTTGCAACTGTACAAGACACAAGTCCTAACATATACAAATCAGATATAAACGAAAAAAAAATAGCTTCTCACTTACTAATTAAGTGGCTTAGTAACCTAAGACTATTATCACAGATTAGGTATACTATATGTATACAGATAAAAATCTTATCCCTCATTCGTGGTACGAAAATTGTTTTTTATGACGATGTGCAAACGAGTAAAATTTCCTGTGCGCAAAAATAAACTCGCGTAAAATAACAATAAACAGCGTAATAGAGAGATATCGCTAAACCGAATAGCGTGCATGGACGTTAATAAGGCCAGGTATTATTTCCTTTACGTGAGGTGGTATTAACTCTCTTCTTTTATAGTTATCGGATCGGAACGAATTCTGTTCGCGTCGCGTCCGCTATTTAAACTTAACCTAACTTTGAATTTAAAACTTTGAAATTGTTTTGTTTACTAGGTATTTTAAAAGTAAAGGGCTAAAGTGCTTATTTCCAGTGCTTTATTGTTCAACGTCTGCCAGTGGGTGTAGGGCAACAAGCAACAAATTCTCTTAGAAGGGCTAAGTCGTCATCTGCAGTAAACCTAAGCCTCTTTATAGGTTCTTTAATATTTTGGGCCATATTTATTTAATTAAAACTAATCCCAGCTACTTAAATATCAAATTACCTAATAAAACCAAAGTAATAATTCAAAACAATTCAAACATAACCTAAAATAAAAGATCTCGCCGGCCGGCCCCGGTTGTCAAATACCCGCACATGCCCATTTAAGCAATTTTTAAACGTTATTTACAAATAGCGCTTGGTGTAATTGATCCTCAAATTACGTCAGGCGGTAACGTTATTAGTGGGTGTTGCGTTAAAAATTGACTCACGCATATCGTAACCATGATAAGGTACGCGTAAATACTGCATGACGCTATTCGGTTTTCCGATATCTCTCTAACAACTGTGCCGGTCAGGCGCTGTGCATAATTTCAAAGACCATAAGTGGGCGTGCTATGTGCGCAAACTAGTAACCTAACTAATGCCCGATTTCGAAAATTGGAACCACGAAAAATAATAAAGAAAAAACAAAGTTTATAATCTGTATAATCTGTGCTATTATATTCTTTGAGTAAAAAGATTAGGGAAGGAGCATATCAAAAAACTTAGATCGAGCGCGATGGGGACCAAAAATGGCCGACTTAAATTCCGGTTTATCAGGGTTTACCGTTCTAAATTTATTCAAAACATATAAAAATATGATGTAGGGTAGACTCGATAATTGATTGTTTTATTTTACGTTGTCCATAAATGTTGGTAATTATTAAAATTGTTATTAAACAATATAATTCTAATAAAAATAGATAAGCTATAATAATAATTATTTAATAACAGAAACATCCAATACACTACTGAAGCAGGTCAGTTAAATTGACGTATCTAAATTATCTTTAACAAGTAGTAAATGAAAGCGAAAATACAAGAAAAAATTAAAAATTACTTAATTTTGAGTGAATTTCATAAATGATCGGTTTACTACACGTATGGTACATATACCGGGTGCGTCTCAAAATTGGCTCACCCCTATACCTTTTTTATTTTTTCACTTAAAAAAACAAGATTTGGTATGTTAGTATATGACGTAAATTGGGATTGATTGACGTATTCAATTGTTTTTAATCACTTCCTGTTTCACCGGAAATAACTACAACTTTTAATTTTTTTTACTTTATTTGATAGAAAATAACACTCATATGGATATATGTAGAATGACATATCATATGTCAACTTTTGACATTTTCGCTTTAAAAAATCTTATTTTAAATTTCAATCTAGAGTCCCATGGTTCTGTTAAAAACACTAATTTTTATTACAGGAGCATTGGAAAAATAGATTTGATCGTCTAATGTTTTATGTGTCTTGTCCTGGATAGTTAGAAAATGCTCAAATCGTTTTTTTTTTTATCATATTTCAATTTTTTCAAATAGAACGAGGGTGGCTCATTAGCATATTTGGAAAAAGCATTTTTTTCCGAATAGTTTGATACAACACACTTGGTATTTCGAGTCAAATTTTCTTTACGAACCGCGAGTTATAATTTTAGATAAACCATATGCAAAAATGTCAAAAGTTGACATATGATATGTCATTCTATTCAGAATGTCATTTTCTATCGAATAAAATTAAAAAAATACCGAGTGTGTCATTTAAAAATCAAAAATTTTACAGTATTTTTCGATAAATTGCAATAGCATCACTGTTAATTTAAATTCTGACACAAAATTTCCTTCTAGCTTTATTATCTCTAAACAAATTCCCGTCACTGAATAAATAATAAATAACATAAAATAAGCTTAATAAAGACCGACAAATGGACAAATTTATAAATCACCTCAAAATGTGTCAAATGAACCGTGAAATAGAACTGCCAAAGATCCCCCCTAGGTCCCATCTCCGTCTACTATGCATGAATACATATGGATAGCATTATACTCAAAATTAAAAAAAAATCACAAGAATGGCGTATTCGTAACAGAAAAAAAATAAGAAACAATTATTATCTAATCCTCGAAGCAACAATTATTGCTTTTTGAGTATAATTAGCAACAAACATAATGATTTGGAAGAAAGAGAAGAAGCCAGCTTACGTAAGAATAGGTAAGTGAAATGTGCAGACTCTGATTTTGCAATAATTTAGCAAATTGCAACCAATGTATGTTATTAGTGCGGTGCAGGTATTGTGTTCGTTTTCTTCATTTTCCTTGACACTTAAGTAAGAAGAAGAAGATGCTCGGTTTTGTTCTGGTGACCTTTAAATGCCAACAACAATTATTTCCTATAAATAACGATTTGACGTTTTTATAATCGGGTGAAATCACGAACAGGCGACTTCTTAAAATCACTCAGAATTTTATTTATTGGGTTCCAAGAATCCCATCAGAAAAAAAGAATGTAAAAAATGCCAAGTCCCGCAATGCAATTCATTCCACAACGAAAAGTTGTGAGATCGCAAACCAAGACAGTTATTTTTGCACCTATTCAACAATGGTTTTGATATCACTTACTCTAAAACCCTATCCCTAGGAATGGTAAAGTGTATTTAAATATGCAGTAGCATTGAAGCGACTGGTGACTTCCCGTTATGCTTTTCCCGGTAACATCTTCCAAATCTAGGAAGCTGTTAGGCCTCCTAGACTAACAGCTTGTGAAGATTTTCGGTACAGCAGTGTACTAACAGCAGTGAAGATTTTCGGTACTTATTTTCCCAGTCAGCAAACACCGATAGAATTATTCGGTAGGTTATTCTAAGCAAATTTCATATACGCACCGGAAAAGTCTAGGGATATTACAATTTTATCCAGCCATCGTCAGTAATTTTATTATTTGCATTTCTGATATAATAAAATTAAAATAAACAAATTGTTTACAGGACGCATTGGAAATAAATTTACCGAATTTTTCAAATTTACCTTGATTTTTATTGAACTCAAAAAAATACACACATTTTCTTTTATTCTAAACTGTGAATTAAAAAAAAAAAGATAAAACCATTTTGACTTAATAAAGGGACCTCCTCTACTGTTCATTACAGCCCTACCTCGTCTCTCCATGCTCCTGATCAGGTTGTCGATCTCTTCTTGAGGTACAGCCTGCCACGCTGCATTCACGGCCCGAATCAGATCCCTACGAGTTTCACGAGGCATGCCCATTCTCAAAATTCTTCTTTGGACCGCGTCCCATAGGTGCTCGATGGGGTTAAGGTCAGGAGATTGTGCCGGCCAGAGTAAGATGTTTAATTGATGAACATTGATAAACTCACTTGCCACTCTGGCTGTATGAGGCCGTGCATTGTCATGCATGAGAATGAAGTTTCTCCCAAAATCATTGGCATATGGTAACACGACAGGGTCAAGAATTAAATCACGATATTTAATTCCTGTTAGAAACCTTTAACTGGACTCCTCCCCAGACCATAACTGTTCCACCTTGGTAAGGGTGCACTTCTTGAACATGATCCAACCGAATAAGATTTCCCGGTTCTCTCCATACCCTAAGCCTTCTCGAATCCGGATGAATTCCAAAGAGTGACTCATCCGTGAAGAGAACATTGGCCCATTGTTCATTCGACCCCTTAACATGATCTTGAGCCCACAAATATCGTACCTCTCGATTTCCTCTCGTTAAGGGTTGAGCTCTCCAGAGGCGTCTGCTTCTTCATTTGACCTATCTTAACATGAATGTGTGAGGACTAACGGTTACATTATGTGTTTCCTGGAGAATTACTCTAAGCTCTGGTGCTGTAAGAGTCGGTCGGCGTCGAGCATTTAATTGTAAAAAATGATCTTGCTCAGGGGTAGTAATACGATGTCGCCCTGTGTGCCTTTCAGCAACATCACCACTTTCACGGTAGCGTGCACT